GTGATTATCCACATGAACAAATAATAACATCTGTAGAGATGGAAAAGACATTAAAAATTAGAACTGGCAAATATAATGAATAGTCATAATTAAATATGGCACAGAAATCTATACACTGAACAAGCAATAAGGAACTCAAAGCGAGGCCATTGGAGGGGGGGATGATATACAGAAGAATTGGTTATATTTCATAGAGCAAGAAAACTAATCAAATATAATGTACTGAAAGAATACGGGTGGGGGGGGGGGGGGAGAAGAAGAAGAAGAAGAAGAAGAAGAAGAGGAAGAAGAAAAAGAAGAAGAAGAAAAGAAGAAGAAGAAGAAGACCAAGGTGATGGTCGGCGTCTCGATACCACTGTTGAAACCAACACAAGGCCCACAGCTGGGATTGAACCCGGCATCCCGGCATTAGGAAGCGGGGTGCAAGGCCTAAGTCACAGACACCAACAAACTGCAGTTAACCACTATATTTTCATTAGTATGGTAACTACAGCTTTAGATTTGTATCTCCTCTAGTGTCTCCTCCTATCTCTCTACTTCTTTCTATGAGTGCCAATCAATACCTGTCAGTATGTTCATTATAATGTTTCCGTGACCTCAAGGATTCTGAACAAAGGTGAAACAATACTTTACACACATGATGAACTCTTGTGAGCTGAAGTAAGAAAGAAGGTGCTGGCCTCTAAATGTGGCAAGTCATGGGCATATAAGTAGTACTGCCTTATAGTATCACAACAAAACGAAACAAAAATAAGAAATACTGTTAGTACTTATAATTGATTGCAGTCATTTCTTAGACAGGTTGTTGATAAGGCCCTTTAGAGTGAGTGATTATTTGTAACTACACAATTCAGATGATGCTCTCTTGATGCAGTATGCAATTATTTAAAAACTGACTATGGAGGAAATTTACGGAAAACCCTATTCTATTCAATGAATTAAAGAAACAGAATGTGGCATGCACAAATTATTTAGCAGCTAGTCCTCGATGAAACAGGAGTCGCCGTGGCGGAGCGGCTAGACCCTTGCTACGGATCGAAAGGTCATGGGTTCACTCCCTGTCGTGCCGGACTTTTAAAAAAAAAATGACCTTGGCTCCCAGGTCGACGCAGCCTTGAGTGGGTAAAAGGTCCGGTCCTGGGAAGTAAAGGCGGCCGGCGTGATGTTGACCACATCAAACATCTTGTGCCGATTAGTCTTTAAAAATATAAGCCTTGCAATATATGCCTAAAGGCATAGAAAAGGGTCCTTTGCTGTTTTATTTTTTATTTTTAACCTCGATGAAATTCTCTAATAACTGGCTAAGCCAGAGTTACATGTACAATTATTTTGAACACTTTATGTACACAAATTTCACAACCAGGTACCCATGTGTACTGTCAGCATTAATAAATAAACATATAAAACAATTGGAACCAGTGTGGCACAGTCAATAGTGCACTTGCTTTCTTAGACCGTAGTCTGGGTTAAATCTTCAACACAGGCAGGTTTTCCCATGTAGACCAGTACATTCACCTCTGGGGTTGACTCAGCTTCATAAACATGGTGGGAAAAACAGTTTTGCGACTTGTCTACAGAGATTTATTTATGGAATGCATAGTTAATGCTACTTACTGGTTAATTTTCCATTAACCCTGTAGCCCTGAGAAAGCCATTTTTCCAACATTTAGGGGTTTTGTTGGTGACAAGAAGTCTTTGGGCAATGGCCGCTAGACCTTTATAACAGCTCTGTCTGTAACAGCAGTGTGTAGAAATGGTGGGTATGGCTATACTTACCCCCAAAACAATGTTGAGATATAGAGATTTAAATGATGTCATTGTCACATCATACTACTCTCATACAATATCATTTAGCGCCCTATGCACAACCCATTCTAGAACTGTCAAAGGGAGGAAAGCAGTCAATTCTTAGCTCTATTTGCATTTAGTGATTACTTCCCATAGTTAAAGAAAATAGTTTTTTGTGTGTGCGCGCAAAGTAAAAGAACCCTTTTCCACGCCTTTAGGTGTACAAGGCATATAGGGCTAGACATATTTTATAGACCAATCGGCACAAGATGGGTAATGTGGTCAGCATCACACCGACCGCCTTTACTTCCCTGGACTGCATCCGGTACCCACTTAAGGCTGGGTCGACCTGGGAGCCAAGGTCATTTTTAAAAAAAAGTCCAGCTTTGCCAGGAAGAGAACCCATGACCTTCCGATCCGCGGCGAGCGACTCCTTTTTTGCGCAGAGAAAATAATAGTTAAAATGAACAGGAATTATTTAAGTGATCTGGCGGCGGTGATACTTGACTGTCTGCGTGGCGGTCTAGGGGTTCCATCCTTCAGATGTTTATAAAAACTGCCCAAGACTCCAAAATGTTTCTACCTTTCCATTTTTCTCCTAGTTTCTTAAGATAAAGTTTCTTTTCAAAGAAAAACTTTGAATAAAGGGAGTTTAAAAAAAAAAAAAAGATGTTCTGAACATAAACATTTCATATGATGAACATAATAAACTGATTAAAATATTCTTCTCCTTCTAAACATCCACTGGCTGTAAACTTTAGTGTAAAGTTCTGGTTGTTTGTCCACTTCTAGACTTTAGTCTTGTTTCAGAACTTGAGTTTAGCATGCACATCCATTTTACAGACCAGGTTTACCTGTATGCAGACTGTTGGTTCCTCGTCTTTCGGGTAGATGGACTCTGACTAAATGGAAACACCCTTTATTAGTCACACATTATGACACGCTTGTTTGGTGGGGGAGGGGCTATATTGTCTTCTCCCTCCTCACCCCCCCCCCCCCCCAAAAAAATGGGGCCTGGAACTCACAAATATTGAGAATGCACAGTGAGGAGAGTCATTTGTCATTTGTGTGTTTCCATTAAAAAAGCAAAGTCATGTGATACTGTAACAAACAACATATGGTAGACATTTTAAAACTGACTGAGGTTTCCGAGGTTAACCCAGCTTTAAATGAGTATCAGAAAATGGCGTGGGAAGTAAAGGCAGCTAGCCAAATGTTGATTACATCCCGATCATGAGCTGATTGTTCAATAAAAAAAAAACAACAAGGGTCTAGCAATATATTTCTAATGTGTCAATGGCATAAAAAGGGTTGCTTACTTTACATTGAGAGAGTTAGCAAGTCCCATGAGAACCACCTAATGGGTACCAATTCACCTAGGGTACTTAAGATTCAACACAGTTTTATCTAATATTGTTAGTTACTGCCCTTGTCAAATTTATTTCCTGTGACCACACATGTGTCAGATATTCTACTGGCTAGACAGAAGTGTGGATTTTTAATCGGTGATAGGTCAGTCAAGAGATTTTTGTGTATTCTTGTTCTTCTTCTTCTGCCTTTCTATCCCCAATGGAGCATAGGCCCTCAACCAACTCACGCCAAGTCGTTCTATCCTTCGCTATTACATGGAGCTCTCCCCATGTACTGTTTATCTTTTTTAACTTCATTCTCCAGATTTCTTCTCCATGTGTTTTTTTTTTTTGGCCTTCCTTTATTCCTATGCCTCTGTGGGTTCCAATGCAAAGACATTCTAGTTATGCTGTACTCCTGTTTTCTCAGTGTGTGTCCTATCCAACATCAGCATCTTTTCCTCACTTCTTGGTCCACTGGAGCTTGCTTAGTTCTCTCAACAAAGCTCTACATTAGTTATTCTATCATACCATTTAATTCCTTCTATTCAGCACAGGCATCAGTTAATGTCTGTAATTTATTAGTAATTGCTTTAGTTGTTTTCCATGTTTCTGCCCCATACAATAGTACTGATTTGACATTAGAATTAAACATTTTAAGTTTAGTATTTCTTTTGACCTCCACAAATTCCCTAGTGCTGAAAGCTCCACTTGCCTTTTGTATTCATATTTTGATATCTCTATCAGTTCCGCCATCTTTATCTACATTACTGCCCAAATAGGTGTACGACTCCACGTCTTGGAGTGGGGTGCTATTAAGAGAAACCATATTACGATCTGCCTGATTTATTCTAATTATTTTTGTCTTTCCTTTATGGATTTTCAGACCTAGCTGCTGTGATCTCGCATCAAGTATATTTAATTTATCTTGCATCTGATTTTGTGAATGGGACAGAAAAGAAATATCATCAGCGAAGTCCAGATCATCAAGCAGTTTTGTAGGGGTCCACTGAATTCCATTCGTGGTGTTAGCAGTTACTGTCTTCATAATCCAGTCTATAGCTAGTAAAAATAGGAGAGGTGGCAAAAGACATCCCTGTCGCACACCTGTTTTTATTTCAAATGTATTTGTTAGCTTTCCCTCATGAAGAACTCGACATTTCATGACTTTATATGTTGATTTACTAAATTAATAATTTTATGTGGGATTCCATAGTGCCCCATCAATTTAAAGAGAGATTCCCTATCGATGCTGTCAAATGCTTGTTCATGTTTGTAGTATTGTAGACTTATGTAACATGCTGATGAAGGTTCCCCAGCCCCCAAAGTTCTCTCCCTTGTTGTTTGTTTTTTGTTGTTGTAATATTGTGAAATTGACTGGTTCTACCTTTCAATTGGTTTGCTATCTTTTCATGATCCTTTATTATTTACAAGTATGCAAGTAGTTAGAATCTAATAAAGAAAGTTGGCCGACTGTAGAAAACTTTAGCAGCTGAAGTCTATCAGTCACAAAATATTCATAAAAAGACTTGGTGTGAGCTGGTTGATGGCTGATGCTCTATTGCATCGGTTCTCAACATGTGGGTCGCGACCCATTTGGGGTTCGAACAACCCTTTATCATTGGTTGCCTGAGACCATATAAAAAACACATATTCACTAAAGTTATGAAGTAGCAACAAAAATAATTTTATGGTTGGGGGTCACCCCAAGATGAGGAACAAATTAAAGAGTCACGGCATTAAGAAATTTGAGAACAACTGCTCTACTGGGAACTGAAAGGTAGGAAAAAGGTCACGGCATTAAGAAATTTGAGAACAACTGCTGTATTGGGAGCTGAAAGGCAGGAAAATAGGATGTGTCGTCTACAACTCCACATCTCCATTACTTAGTGGATTAGTTTTGACTTCACCATTGCTTGCAAACTTTGCACTGCCGTTTGTTGCTGGGAGAGAATACATTGAGACCGGTCTGTTGGGGGCACCATTCTTATCTTTGCTGGAACTCCGCCGCATAAACATCCAAGGGGCACTCGTTCTGTTTTGATTTTTCTTGTTACGTTCAAGTGTCGGTGTATTCTGGTTATGAGGATCAGCCTGAAAATGTAATATGTCAATTCTGCAATTTCTTAAGCAACAGGGTAATTAGAAATTGTTAAAATGAAACAACATGAATAAATATAACAAGATGACTAAATTTGTCTCGGAAACTGAAATATTTTGGCACTATCAAGTACCACGGCGAGTTGGAAACAATAATAACAGAAGGCAAGGTACCAGAAAAGAGGTGCAGGGGTCGATCAACAAGAAGATAGCACAGGGGGTGGGAGAGCTGGCAAGAGACAGAGTTTCTTTCAGGCAGACCGTGATGAGAGCAATGTTCTGCAAAGAATCTACTGCAGGATGATGATGACTAAATAATGACAACATGACTAAATATGACACCTCAACTAAATACAACACAACTAAATATGACACCACAACTAAATTCTGCAACATAACTTGATACCACAAAAGAACATTACAACTCTATATGACACCACAACTGAAAATGACAACATATCTGAATATTACAACATAACTGAACATTAAAAAATAACAAATAGTACAAAATAACTAAAATGAGAACATAAGTAAACATGAGAACATAAGTAAACATGACAACATAAGTAAACATGACAACATAAAACATGACAGCATAAAACATGACAAAATAACTAAACATGACAACATAAGTAAGCATTGCAACATAACTGAACGTGGCAACATAAAACATGACATCATAACTAAATATGACACACGGGTAAAAATGACAACATAAAACTGACAACATAAGTAAACAATCAATATAAGTTAACATGACAACATAATTAAACATGACACCATAACTAAATATTAGATGCTGTGACACTGATAATGATGACAACAGTAACAATAATGATGATGAATACCCTTTCCTTCCCTTACCTCGAAAGGTGCTCTTGGAAGACTGAGAGTTGAGGTGGGTGTACTTGAGGCTGTGTCAGATCTGGGAACCGGTGTCACTAGGACCAGGGTCAGTGACAGGTTGGCCTGCTTGACCAGCTTCACCACCTGGTCATGTTTGGCCCACTTGGTGTCCACAGATCCGATCCCAACAATGTAATCATCCACTTTCATACCACTCCTCTGTAATGTAGCACAATGTAATGTAATGTTATGTCATGCAATCTTCTTCTTATTTGCGTTCACCGGCTGTAAACTCCAACGGAAAGTTCTGGACTTGAGTCTTTTGTTCCAGAACCTGAGTGTTGCGTGCACATCTATTTTACAGATCTGACTTATCTGTATGCAGATTGTTGGTTCCTTGCCTCTCAGGCAGAAGCACTCCGACTTCAAAGGAAGCCCCCGGTCAGTCAACTCTTACAACATGCTAGCTGGGGAGGCAGTGGGTCTATTCTTGTTTTCCCTACAATGGGGCCCCGGAACCCACACAGAGAAGGTCATTTAATGTAACATGAACTACAATAACATAATATGGTTTATATAACAGTTAAAAGTTATTATTATTATTTTATTTTTCAAGGTGATTGAACCCTTCTATCCCACGAAGCCCAAAACTTAACACTTCCGGTTGGGTCCAATTCCATAAAACTGTCTTTTTTCCCCGACTTGTCTATAGTGGGCCTGTTTACGAGAGGAAAAGGTAATGCTAATAAAGGTTTAGGAGGTGGGAATATGAATTCAGTAACTAAAAACAGCATTCATGGAGGGGGGTTTCCTTTGAGCCAAATAGCTTTTTCTAAGCTTAGCTTACAAAAACTTTCCCTGTACGCCTCAGTGATAGAAGTGACAAGTCACCTAATACAGGTTTTTTCTATAGGCCCCAGGAAATGTAGTCACATTTTAGACTTCACCCTGTTTGTGCTTGCTGATTACTTCCTTTATATATATATATATATATATATATATATATATATATATATATATATATATATATATATATATATATATATATATATATATATATATATATATATATATATATATATAAAGATTAAAAAAAAATTGCTTCACAAAATATTTAATGCAGCATGGGTACAACAAACTGCACCTATTGATTGGCAACATGCAATAGTTATACCATTGTGGAAGAACAAAGGAAGCAAACGAAAATGCGATCAATACCGAGGCATCTCTCTTTTAAGCCATGTTGGCAAAATGTATGCCAAGATAACAGAAACAAGACTGAGACCAGTGATAGAACCACAGCTGGCAGAAGAACAGATGGGATTTAGGAGAAATAGAAGCTGCACAGATGCAATCTTCACACTCAAACAGTTAATAGAAAAGAACTTTGAATACAATAAGAACTTATTTGTGGCATTCGTAGACCAGGAGAAGGCATTTGACAGTCGACAGACAATTATTTTGGAAAGTAATGGCAAGATATGGAGTAAGCGAACACCTGATCGAAGTGTGCAAAAATTTATACAGGGAGTGTAGAAGTGTAGTTAGAATAAATCAGGGAACATCTCATCCATTCACAGTAACATCTGGAGTAAGACAGGGGTGTGTCTTATCACCACTGCTGTTTATCACCTACATCGACAGTATATGCAAGAATGCCAAGCCCATGAATGAAAATGTTAGTAAGATCAACGAATTACTCTTTGCAGATGACCAGGCCTTGATAGCAGATACAGCCATAAAATTGCAACAACATCTAACATCCGTGAATGAAGAGTATAAAGCAAATAATATGAGAATCAACACTGAAAAGACAGAAGTAATGTCAATAGGAAAAAAGAAGACAGATCTAAACATAGCAATAGAGTGCAAAGGCATTAAACAGGCATCTGAGTTTAAATATCTCGGAACTACATTTACCGAAGATGGGAAATTGGATAAAGAATTAACATTAGATGCAGTAAAGCAAACCAAGTATTGGGACAGCCAGCCCCCCTCTTACTGCATAAGACAATATTAATCAGCACAAAGAGACATCTTATTCAAAGCATATTTATTCCAACTCTGTGCTACCAGTGCCAGACATGGTCACTCACAACAAACCATAAAAGAAAATTAGTAACCATGGAAACGAGATGTCTGAGAAGGGCTGTAGGAGTGACCATAAGCGATAAGATCAGGAATGAGATCATAAGAGAAAAAGTCGGCACAGAACCAATTCTAAATTACATACGAAGACAGCAAGTGAAATCGTTTGCCCACTTGTGACACCATACCATACAAAGCATACATGGAAAGAGAAGAAGGACGTAGAGCACGAGGTAGACCAACAAGATGGAAGGATAACATCAGAGAAACTCTACAACAGCACAATGTGCCTATGGTCAAGGTGGCCAGAAGAGCTAGAGACAGAACCTTATATCTCCCTCGACACCCACAGCGGTAAAAGAGGAAGTGAAGAAGAAGAGAAGAAGAAGATTTTAAAAAAAATTTCCAGTAGATAAATGAATGTTGTACTAATTTATTTGTGATCTGTGTAACATTTTTGTTTTTAAGGATTGTTTCCTAGAATTACAATACAGTCATGACATATTTTCTTTTAGTGTTCTGCTGTCAAGAGTGTTAAATGCAGAACGCTATACTAGACCCTGCATCATCTGTGCTTCTAAACGAGAGAGAATGAAACGTTTCCTACCATTGCCACAGAGTTGTCCTCTACATCAGCAATGACCACTGGAGCATCTCCTCTGACACTGAAGCCAAAGCCCTCAGTTGGCTGTCTGTCCAGCACCACTGTTCTTGGGGCTGACCAGTCGTTTGCAGCATTGAAGACTTTGATTGGACCCTGAGGGAACATGATGATTGTTATTGGAACAAGTAATGTTATAACTGTCAATGTGACTGAGGGAAATTGTTCTTATTATATCTCTATAAACATGCAATGACTGTTAATGTGTTTGGTGGGCATTTAGAACAACGTAATGACCCATATTTTATTTTATTTCTAGCTAACAGCTCGTGCAAAATTTTAGAAATTCAATGGCAATATAAAACATTATGTCCTTTACACAGGTGGATTTTCTGTATAATCTCCATGACTGTATTGCCAGAATCAAACAATGTCATGCACACCTAGCCTGTATCAGGTTTTATCCTATTCTTGAGTGGTGCCTAGAGGCCGCAGCCACTTCCCGCTACATCATTCTCTCGGGTCCCCGTGTGGGTTTTGAGGTCCCATTGTGGAGAAAACAATAACAGACCTACTGCCTCCCTAACAAGCATGTCATAAGAGTTGACTAACTGGGAGCTTTCTTTGAAGTCGGTGTGGATCTGCCTAAGAGGCAAGGAACCAACAATCTGCATACAAATAAGAAAAATCGGTGAAATGGATGTTCATGAAACATTTAGGTTCTGGAACAAGACAAGTCCAGAGGTGGATGAACAACCAAAACTTTCCGCCAGAGTTTACAGCTGGTGAATACAATGAAGAAGAAGGTTCTCTCTTACACAGGTTTTCAGTATCTTCCATTTCACTTGTTACCTCGCCCCATCAGCAACTAATCACCTCACCCCACAGACGACAGATCACCTCGCCCCACAGGCGACAGATCACCTTGCCCCACAGGCGACAGATCACCTTGCCCCACAGGCGACAGATCACCTCGCCCCACAGGCGACAGATCACCTTGCCCCACAGGCGACAGATCACCTTGCCCCACAGGTGACATATCACCTCGCCCCACAGGCGACAGATCACCTCGCCCCACAGGCAACAGATCACCTCGCCCCACAGGTGACATATCACCTCGCCCCACAGGCGACAGATCACCTCGCCCCACAGGTGACATATCACCTCGCCCCAACAGCAAATAATTACATTGCCCCACAGGCTTCAGATCACCTCGCCCCACAGGCGACAGATCACCTCGCCCCACAGGCGACAGATCACCTCGCCCCACAGGCTTCAGATCACCTCGCCCCACAGGCAACAGATCACCTCGCCCCACAGGCGACAGATCACCTCGCCCCACAGGTGACATATCACCTCGCCCCACAGGCGACAGATCACCTCGCCCAATTAGCAACTAATCACCTCGCCCCACAGGCGACATATCACCTCGCCCCACAGGCGACAGATCACCTCACCCCACAGGCGACAGATCACCTCGCCCCACAGGCGACAGATCACCTCGCCCCACAGGCGACAGATCACCTCGCCCCACAGGCGACAGATCACCACGCCCCACAGGCGACAGATCACCACACCCCACAGGCGACAGATCACCTCGCCCCACAGGCTTCAGATCACCACGCCCCACAGGCGACAGATCACCTCTGCCTTGTGCAGTTGCACAAGAAGAAGAACAGTATTGCACACATTACTAGGAGCTTGCAAATAAATGTATCAATGTTACTTTACCAGTTTCCAGAATATGTCTGTAACTTTGACTTTGGACAAATCGGAGACTACTGGTGTGGTGTTATGCTCAGACTTGGCTATGATGTCTGGGACTGTGAGTAAGTCAGAGAAATCATCCTCTTCTTCTAGCGTGGAAAATCTGCTGACTGCCCTATGTCAAGTGAAATAAAAAGAAGAAGTAAATCATTCTTAGTAGGCTCAATTCAGATACTGAGTATAATAACACTTACTTACTTTACTTTTTACTTACTTACTTAGTCGCTCCTCTTCTGCCCTGGGGTGTAGAGGTTTGCCATAGAGATCGCCAGACGTCTCTATCAGCAGTTTTCTTTCTGGCTTTGTTCCATTCCAGTCCTCTGTCAGCTAGAGACTGTCGGATGTTGTCTTCCCAGAGGACCCTGGGTCGACCTGGAGATCTGGTTCCCTGGTTCTTAGCCTCCCATGCCTGCCATGGTGGCCGATTTTGTCCCATTCTGTATACATGTCCAAACCATCGTAACTGTGACTGATCCACTCGGGTTAGTAAGGGCTGGGTATCAAGATCTTGACGTATTGTCTGATTACGGACTTTGTCCCTTCTTGTCACTTGGACCACCTTTCTCAGGTATCTCATTTCTGAGGCCTGCAGCTGGCTTCTGTGAGCTGTTGTCATTGCCCATGACTCACGCCCATAGTTCAGGACAAAACAACACTGATACATTAATTATTTTTGTTCAGCAGCTGCAATATCAAGTTTTTTTTGTTTCACCGTATAATGACTATAATAACCCCGAAACATTAACTTCATTATTTCAACAATTCTTCTTCTTTAGCATTCCAAGCCCTTGAGGTTTATTAGCAGATATCACCCGCCTCCATTCATCTCTGTGACTGGTCCCCACTTTCCAGGTGACTCCCAGCGTCTGCAGGTCCATCTCTATATTATCTCTTCACCATCTTCTTGGTCTATGACCAGTGAACTTCTTGTGTGTACACAAATTATTTACCTCTCTGTCATCTGACATTCTCTCAATACGCTAACGTCATTTCAAATTTTAAACAGTTCGCAATGCAAAAAGTTATCTGTCAGAGTTGTCATCTAACACTGAAATAACAGAATTTGAAACATGCCCAGCAGTGTTCTGTCTCTGAAGAATTAACCAATTCCCTGTGTGAGTTCCAAGGCCCATTTTGGGTGGAGGGACAAGAAGGGGTGGGGGGGGGGGGTGGTGCATCTGCCTGGGAGGCAAGGAAACAACAGTCTGCACAAGCCAGATCAGTAAATCCTACATGCACATTTTCATATTCCAGTTCTGGAACAAGACTAAAGTCCAGAAGCGGACAAACAACCAGAACTTTTCGCTGGAGTTTACAGCCAGTAAATGCAAAGCAGACACATAACAAAATAAAAAAAAAAAAATAAACAATCAATCACTCAGGTGACATCTTTACAATGAAGGTTGGCTGCAATGGATTCTCAATACACTCTGTATTTTGCCCTGGAAGTACGTTCTCTCAGACCGTTGTTCATCCATCTCTTGATGTTATCTTCCCACTTGTAGCACTATCTGCCTCTTGCTCACATAATTTCAACTTTTCCTTCTAGTATAGTAAAGGACCCTTTTCCACCCCTTTAGGCGTACTAGGCATATAGGGCTAGACTTGTATTTTAAAGACCAATCAGCACTTGGTGGTCATCACGTCGGCCACCTTTACTTCCCAGGATTGCACCTGGTACCCATTAAGGGCTGGGTCAACCTGGGAGTCAAAGGACATTTTTGAAAAAAAGTCCAGCTCTGTCAAAACCTGAACCCACACCCTTTCGATCTGGAGGCGAGCATCTAGCCGCTACGCCACGACGGCTCCCTTCCAGTAAGGTTTTATAAAAATGTTGTGTCTTTTAATATGGCACAAATATTTCCCTTGTCTCCTTTTTATTTCCTTTAACAACTCTTTTTTTATTTCGAATCTTTTCACAACCTCTATGCAGCTTGACATTCATTAATCTGGCCACTGATAATCCGATTCCTTCAGCTTTCCTGCATGGATTTCAGAGCACATTTTTCAGATTTACCGGGTTGGTGTGCCACTGTTTTCTGGAGGCCCCGTTTATGTTTTGACGGCAACACACTCCAGTATCAGCTATTATGTTATGTTATCACAATCCACATCACTGCACATTGATCAATCAGCACCCCTTAGTCACTTTTAGCAACATGATGGTCAATGACACCCTCCCCCCCCCCCCTCCCCCTTCCCTAACAAGGTCCTGAAAAACACATTGGGAGGACTAGCAACATAGGGCATGAAAAGATATCATTTCAGTTGTTTTTTTTTTAAACCTGAAAAGCAATTTACTCACTGTCTGCTGAACTAACAAATGTGCTGAAATCTATACAGATATGAACTTCTACATTTCCTCAGGTTACCTTAACTTAGTGTCGGGGAAGATGTAATGACTTTCTGTGTGTTATGTCTAATGCATTGTTTACGTTAATTTCTTTAAGGTTGTTCGTGAAGTCGTAATTCCATATTTTGTGTGGTCTCTCCCTGGGTGTGTTCCTTATATTTTCCTTCACCGTGGCAGTTGGTGCCAGGGGATTCTTATCAGATGGAAATATATGATGACCATATCAAATTTATGTCATTTCCATTAGCACTGGCAATGCGCAGACCACTGGATTGTTTCTGGCCTTCATATAGTCGTTCCACTTTTATGTCAGGGTTTTTCTTATCGCAGCCATGGAAAAACTAGGATCAACTATTATTTATAAAACTTAGGTTTCCTTTGACCTCTAGTGGTAACCCCTATATCTGCATAATTACACTACTTTTGTTTTCAAACATGATCTCTATATAAAATGAAGAACACTTTAAACACCTTCTAAAACAAGAGGCATACAGTGCCTGACAAATATTTTTACACCTCATGGATGATGAGGCCGCTTTTACTTCCCAGGACATTACCTGACACCCATTTTCGGCTGGGCCGATTTGGGAGCCAAAATTAATTGCAAAAAACTAATCTCTCCATGTGGATTTGAATCATAGACCCTCAGTAAAGATAAGATGCCTTTTCACGCCTTAGGCGCATCGGGTATATCGGAAGAGGGTCCCATATTTTTGCAGACCAATCAGCACTGGATGGGTAATGTGGTCAGCATTACGCCGGCCGTCTTTACTTCCCCAGAACTGCAATTTGAGGCTGGGTCGACCTGCGATGCCTCATACCATGATAAAAATTCACGCAGCCAGCAGTGGCTTTCGAATCTGGTAAATTGGATCACAAGTCGGACTCGCAACGCCCAAGCCACAGACACTGCAAGTAGACCCTCAGGCTGGCAAGTGTCTAAACACTATGCTACTGTGGCTACAACTCTATATAAAGGACATGAACAAACATGCATACAGAAAAAAAAAAAACAGGAAACAGAAATCAAGTGACTCCAACCTCTCATGTGTTTTCTCAAGGATATCTTTGAATGGGTCAATTTTCCGTAACTGTTTACACAACCCATGAATTCGTATTGACTCCTCATGATTGACTATTGACTCTCGAAGGTGCGCTTTGCCTGTGAGCAATAACAGATAAAGATGGTGCAACATTAGCAAACAACTTATGGTGAAAATCCTGAGAATATGCATCATTCCTGCGGCAACCTACGGCTGTGAGTCATAGACTACTTTCATCATCATCATCATCATCATTACATGTCACACAAGGCTCACAGTATACTCCTACATTCCACTGTATCCCGTGCAATCACTCAGTTATCACAAACGGGATCTAGTTCAGCACCTGTGGCTTCTCTCATCAATGCTCGCCTTAGGTTTTCTCTTAGATACCCTCGTTTCCTCAGTGATTCTATTCCCCATTTCAGTGCCTGTTTGCTTCTCAGGATGTGTCCAGTGTACAGCCATCTTCTTCGTCTTTTAACTGCTGATACCATTGGTTGCCCAGACACTGCTCTTATTTCTTCACCTCTTTTGAATGCATCCCCTTTTATAAAGATTTTCCTCAGGTATTTTCTTCAAAAATGCTTTTAATTTCTATTGCATGTCATTAATGGTTCTCCACCTTGCACTTTAATTCACAGGATCACCAAGGTGTCCAAGACATGGAGGTGACAGCCATTAAATCCAGCCACTCCAGCGACAGAGTCCGCAAGACTCTTAAAAACCGCCTTATTAACTCTATGAGCACGCTTATGCCGAAGTAGCTGAACTGTCAACATAGTTTCATCTAAAATTCTCAAGTTACGACCCCTGTCATTCCACGGCTATTTATTTCTTGGGCCCCACATTGTCTTCTCACTCCACTGGCAAGACATCAACATGGCTGCATCTAGATACTTAGTTAAGTGTTTTTGTGTATTCGTGTGGTTTTGATTTATGTATGTGGTTATGAAGGCTCTATAGTTGCAACGTTCATGTTTTGTTTGTGTTTGTTATATTGTGAAGCTCAATGATCTACTTTTCATTCAGTTTTATATCTTTCCAACTTTCAGAGACACATGGAATATTTTTAGACTATCAAGAACAGCAAAACTACCTACATTCTCCAGGATCTGAACACAGAGGGAGACCGGCTTCTAGACAGTATTGTTTCACGCTAGCCGAAATACTCTGGCACTTATTTCACATCAGGTAGCCACCATGGTGTTGAAGAAAGATGCTTTCCTAAGGATCCCTAGGTTGAGGATTCAAATTCCAATGGAGCTGGAAATTCTTTGTTAAAATGACCTTGGCTCCCAGGTTGACCCAGCCTTAAATGGGTACCAGGTAAAGTCCTGGGAAGTAAAGGCGGCTGGCATGATGCTGATTACATCACCCATAGAGTGCCGATTAGTCTATAAAATATAGGTCTAGTACTATATGCCCCATACACTTGAAAGCATAGGAGAAAGGTCCTTATTTCACCCCATAATGGTTTGGAGAAAGCAGTAACAAGGGGTATAGAAGAAGAGGCATGGGTCGACCATAGTGGTGGTGGGCGCCGGATATCATAGATACCCTGGACATGAAAGTTGGCAGTGGACAGAGTTGCTTGTGAAACGTCACAGGTTAAGCAGGACTTCTAAAGAGGCTGTTTAAAGATGAGAGGGATCAACTTGTTTGCTCTGGGTTTTATACCACATAGCTCAGTCTTCCTCTGCAGAGCAACTGTTCGCCCATTAAAGTACAGTTGAGTCTGGATAAGTAGAAGTAGCAGGGACCTAAGAAAATGCTTCCACTTATCAGGATTTATACTGATCCAGATAGCACACACAATAGAGAAAATTGCTGGGACTAAGCTGGTCATGTCGACTTAACCAAAATTCGACTTATCCGAGTTGGACTTAAGTGGACTTGACTGTACAAAACTTCCCTCCAGCAATGACCTCCTGAGATCTCCAAAATCCTGCACCCACAAACTGAACGATGGATTCTGAAAGTTAGCCCACATCCTTCAGATAGCAAGGCAAATGGCTAAACTCCTTCACCACAGTCTCTTGGAATTCTCCATGGCATGACTTTTTAAACAGATCAAACAAACAGCGGAAGTGACTGCTGAAAAAGTCAAGAATCCCATGTCAGTTCCAGAGCCTTATTTTGGAGGAAAAAGAATGGGGGGGGGGGGGGGGGGGGGGGGGGGGGGGGGAAAAGAATACACCCACTGTTACCCTAACTAGAAAGCCAAAAAAGTTGACTAATTAGGGATGTTTCCAATGAAGGAAGAGCATGAACCTGAGAAGAACCAACATTCTGCATACAAATAAGCCAGATCTGTAAAACCGATGTGCATGCAAAACTCAGGTTCTGGAACAAGACTAAAGTCCAGAAATGAATGAACAACCCCCCGTGTGGGTTCCGGGGCCCCATTGTGGGGAAAACAAGAATAGACCCACTGCCTCCCCAAAAGCATGTCGTAAGAGTCGACTAATTGGGGAGCTTCCTTTGAAGTCGGAGTGCATCTGCCGGAGAGGCAAGGAACCAACAGTCTGTATTCAAGAGAATGAGATCTGTAAAACTGATGCACACGCAACACTCAGGTTCTGGAGCAGGACTGCAGTTCAGTAGTGGACGAGCAACCAGAACCTTCCGCCAGAGTTTACAGCTGGTGAACGCGAAGAAGAAGAAGAAGAAGAATGAACAACCAGACCTTCCCGCTGGAGTTTACAGCCGGTGAATGTGAAGAAGACAAAGAAGACACTGGTAAGATATTATACTAACCATAGAAAGCGCAGATATTTAACTTACCTAAATGTTTCCTCTCCTCTGCTGTGTTTGGTAGTCTTACGCTATTATTTTCATCTCGCTGTACCACTTCAGCATAAGAGGCCTCAACTGTTTCCTTCACATCACCGGAATCTGTACTTTCTAGAGAGACAAACAAGTGAAGTGTCATCAATTTGCTCTAGGGATCCGGGATGAGGAAATGTTTTGGAAGCAAAGGCAGCTGGTACGATACTGAAAACATCCCCTGTCAAGTGTCAACTGCTTTACAGATACTGAAAACATCCCCTGTCAAGTGTCAACTGCTTTACAGATGCTAAAAACATCACCTGTCAAGTGTCAACTGCTTTACAGAAATATGGACTAGCACTATATGCCCAAATATAGTAAGGTAAGGTAAGGTGCTTTAGGTAAGGGACGACGGATCATCATCTGACACAAGGGTAGTAACCATAAGTGCTCCATTCTACTTGTGACTCCAGTCTGAGTCCGAAAAAATATCTGTGGCACCAGCGAGGATTCTGAAATACTTTGGGTAGATTTTTTACTCCAATTTTTGCCAGGGTAGTGCCATTAGGCTACTCTTTTTCGATTTCCAACTGCCAAAGGAATTTTTTACGTGCGCAACAATTACACGGGCCTCCGATCTTACTACCCTGAGACCTGGGAAAATTACTAGAAGTCCACGTGAAAAAAATCCCAGTCTTCACCGGGGCTTGAACCCAGAACCTCCAGCACTCAAGGCGGATGCCATGCCTCGAGACCACTCAGCACCCAAGTATATCAGAAGACAAGGAAAGGCTGAACATAAAATTAGATGAACTAAAAAAGGGGGAAAAGAAAAAAGAGAGAAATGTCTGACCCTCCACTGATAACAACAGTTATAAGACAAGAGAAGATGGCATTTTAGTGGACACATTCTGAGAAGAAATAAGCAGAGAATCAACTAACAGGCACTAAAATGGGAAATAAAAGGACTGAGAAAGTGAGGATGTCCCCCAAAAAACACACACAGAACGAATGTTGACGAGAGTGACCAATCAGTATTCCATCCATGATAATGAAGAGATTGCAAAAGATAAGGGGAAACGGAGGAACCGACTACAAGCTCCACATGATATATAATGACATAACAGGGAAATGATGATGACAGAAAACAGCTCCAAATTGTACTTTTACCACCAGGTTAAGATTGAAAATGTTGCTCTGGGAGCACCATCACCTCAAACTTTACTTTAAAGTCACTTCACAAATAATAATAAATGCACTCCTATTTTGCATCAGAAAACAGGGAAAATGAAGAGAAGGTAATTTTTTTCAGCATCAGCAGAGAATCGGTCACTATGATTCCTTTGGCGACTCTGTTTTCGATAAACCCTTCAGAGCTGCAGTGACCACCTCCACCTCCATCCTTATGCTTGAAGTTGTAAATTAAAAAAAAAAAAATTTTGTTCTGCCATGATCTTTCTCTTCCCTTGAGCTGAAAACTCCCAGTCAGATCTTTTACCCCAGTCAATAGAACCATTGGTGTACACTAGTGCTTCATCTAGCCAAGTGTTTTCACCTGTCAGATGTATCTCTATTTCTACCACACTCAACACACGGCAAAAGATAGAATGACTTAAGCTGAGCTGATTGAGGAACCAATGTCCAAAGAGAGATTAGGGATAGAATCAGAAGCAGCAGGAAAATAATTAAAGAAAAATAAGAAGCAGAAAGAGGAGAAGAAGAAGAAGAAAAAAGAAGCAGTGGTGGCGACACAGAAGCAGCAGCAGAAGGAGTAGAAGAAGACGAAGAAGAAAAAGAAACAATAAGAAAAAGAAAAACAAGTAGAATAATAATAATAATTAATAATAAAAAAAATAATAATAAGAAATAAGTAATAAGAAGAAGAAGAAGAAGAAGAAAAAAAAAAGAAGGAAGAAAAAGAAGAAAGAAGAAGAAGAAGAAGAAGAAGAAGAAGAAGAAGAAGAAGAAGAAGAAGAAGAGAAGAAGAAGAAGAAGAAGAAGAAGAAGAAGTAGAACAAGAAGAAGAAGAAGACAAAAAAGCACAAGCGGAAGAAGTATAACTGTATAATCATAAAACACTATACACGTGCACCCATGTGCTGTACCTTTCCCATCCAACAGAGCCAGAGTGACATAATAGTGGGCCAGAGCTTTGAAGAAATGATGCTTGGCCTCAATCATGGTCAGCCAGGTAAAAGGCAGGTAGGATTTGATTGGCTCCTCACTCATCATCTTGTGAGTCTCCCCGTACTTCAAGGATACCTGGGAAAATATGAGACTAGCATCATATACCCCAATGTGCGACTGATGTCAAAAGTGCCCTTTATTGAATTTTCCCAAAAAATATTATTCTAACATCAAATTTTTATGATAAAAATATTCTGAATTAGTTTCATTCCAACCACAGCTCAACAGGAGAATATTCTATAACTAGTTTCATTCCAACCACAGCTCAACAGGAGTATATTCTATAACTAGTTTCATTCCAACCACAGCTCAACAGGAGTATATTCTATAACTAGTTTCATTCCAACCACAGCTCAACAGGAGTATATTCTATAACTAGTTTCATTCCAACCACAGCTCAACAGGAGTATATTCTATAACTAGTTTCATTCCAACCACAGCTCAACAGGAGAATATTCTATAACTAGTTTCATTCCTACCACAGCTCAACAGGAGAATATTCTATAACTAGTTTCATTCCAACCACAGCTGAACAGAAATGCATTCTATATTAGTTTCATTCCAACCACAGCTGAACAGAAATGCATTCTATATTAGTTTCATTCCAACCACAGCTGAACAGAAATGCTTTCTATATTAGTTTCATTCCAACCACAGCTTAACAGAAATGCATTCTATATTAGTTTCATTCCAACCACAGCTGAACAGAAATTCTTTCTTAATTAGTTTCATTCCAACCACAGCTGAACAGAAATGCTTTCTATATTAGTTTCATTCCAACCACAGATCAACAGGAATGCATTCTACATTAGTTTCATTCCAACCACAGTTCTTCTTCTTAAATATATAGAAATGCATTCTATATTAGTTTCATTCCAACCACAGCTGAACAGAAATGCATTCTTTATTAGTTTCATTCCAACCACAGCTGAACAGAAATGCTTTCTATATTAGTTTCATTCCAAACACAGTTCTTCTTCTTAAAAAGACGGTTGCCGTGTTGTCTTGTGGTTTACATCTAGGCTGTGATACCTGTGTCTTTCAGCCCAACAAATCCCATAAGTGGCCTTATTCGACATGCTTGTTATGGGGCTGTAGCCCTATTCCTCCCTTCTTAGGCCCCAAAACCACATAGAAAGAAACAACAATAAAGACACATAATGAGATATACATTTTTAGGAATCATGTCTGCATGGGTACTTGAAAATGTGTGCATGTCTGCCTGTGTGGGTGTTAAGTGCACGCACTCTACAACTATACCACTAAAGACAGACTTAGGGAGGAACATTTTTAACTGTGCAACACGCATACAAGTATTTATTTACTCATGGGTTTGGTTTTGCAAGAACAAAACACAGATAACCATAAATTTACCATGGCACATTCCTGTGCAATCTTGGTGCTGTTAACAATACCATCTTTATTTCCACCGATTAATCTTCCTTCCAGGACACATTCTTGTGCCTGCGCCTGAAATACAGACAACATAACATTTCAACATTATACATACGTATGTGTATGTGTATGTATATATTTATAAGGGAGCCATCGTGGTGTAGCGGTTGGATGCTCACCTGTGGGCCCAAAGGGGTGAGTTAAAAATTGACACTGGCTTCCAGATTGATCCAGACTTAAATGGGTAACAGGTATAAAGATCTGGGAAGTAAAGTGGCTGGTCTCATACTAAACACAACACACACAGAATGTCATTTGGTCTCTAAAATATAGATCAATCACTATATGACTAATGTGCCAAAGGAACAAATCAGCCCAAGAACACAGTTTCCGAACAAATTTTGACTTAACTCGCGAACAATGCCTCAGTGCATGAAGGCGCAAACATGGCTTTGGTGACATGTTTCGGACCACAAACAGAATCGGGTTTGCTCAGATTTGTGCACTGTACACATTGTTTGTCACTGCATTGTTCATGACACAAGTCCTCCCCCACCCACTTGTTTTTCTTCTTTATTAAATTACCTCTCATTATAGCTCATCATAAGAAATTGACAATTAGTGATAGTGGTGTAAAGAAGCCTAAGCCTATCCTAATAGAAACAAAGACATAAATAATCACTAAACATAAGAATCATATTTATGATTCTGATCTCGCTAAGCAGTCTTCTTCTTCTGCCTTTCTATCCCCCAATGGAGTATAGGTCCTCAACCAACTCAAGTCAAAGTCGTTCTATCCTTCGCTATTACATGGAGCTCTCCCCCGTGTCCTCCTTATCTTTCTAACTTAATTCTCCAGCTCTCTTCTCCATGTGTTTTTTGGCCTTCCTTTATTCCTATACCCCTATGGGTTCCAATGCAAAGACATTCTAGTTATGCTGTTCTTCAGTTTTCTCAATGTGTGTCCTATCCAAAGCCACATCTTTTCCTCACCTCTTGGTCCACTGGAGCTTGCTTAGTTCACACTAAGCAGTAGGACATGGCTAAATCTATGATCCATTATATTTAAACAAACAAAAAACAAAAACAAAGACGCACTAAAGAAGGCTGGTGTGGCTAAAGGAGTGACTACGTTAAGGAGTTAAGGAAGCAATGGTGTCAAGTGTTAGAAGAGGTAGAACAATTATTGTTAGTTTGAATGCTCATTCTCAAAATATGGATCATCTCCGTCCCCATTGTGGAATTTTCTGTCACCATTGTGGTATTCTCTGTCACTATTGTGTTATTCTTTGTCACCATTGTGGTATTCTCTGTCACTATTGTTGTATTCTCTGTCACCATTGTGGTATTTTCTGTCACCATTGTGGTATTCTCTGTCACTATTGTGGTATTATCTGTCACCATTGTGGTATTTTCTGTCACCATTGTGGTATTCTCTGTCACTATTGTGGTATTTTCTGTCACCATTGTGGTATTCTCTGTCACCATTGTGGTATTCTCTGTCACCATTGTGGTATTTTCTGTCACCATTGTGGTATTCTCTGTCACCATTGTGGTATTTTCTGTCACCATTGTGGTATTTTCTGTCACTATTGTGGTATTCTCTGTCACCATTGTGGTATTTTCTGTCACTATTGTGGTATTCTCTGTCACTATTGTGGTATTTTCTGTCACCATTGTGGTATTTTCTGTCACTATTGTGGTATTCTCTGTCACCAATGTGGTATTCTCTGTCACCATTGTGGTATTCTCTGTCACTATTGTGGTATTTTCTGTCACCATTGTGGTATTTTCTGTCACCATTGTGGTATTCTCCGTCACCATTGTGGTATTTTCTGTCACCATTGTGGTATTCTCTGTCACCATTGTGGTATTCTCTGTCACCATTGTGGTATTTTCTGTCACCATTGTGTTATTTTTTTTCCCCGTTGTGGTATTCTCTGTCACCATTGTGGTATTCTCTGTCACCATTGTGGTATTCTCTGTCACCATTGTGGTATTCTCTGTCACTATTGTGGTATTCTTTGTTACCATTGTGGTATTCTCTGTCATCATTGTGGTATTCTCTGTCACAATTGTGGTATTCTCTGTCACCATTGTGGTATTGTCACCATTGTGGTATTCTCTGTCACCATTGTGGTATTCTGTCACCATTGTGGTATTCTCTGTCACCATTGTGGTATTCTCTGTCACCATTGTGGTATTCTCTGTCACCATTGAGGTATTCTCTGTCACCATTGTGGTATTCTGTCACCATTGTGGTATTCTCTGTCACCATTGTGGTATTCTGTCACCATTGTGGTATTTTCTGTCACCATTGTGGTATTCTCTGTCACCATTGTGGTATTTTCTGTCACCATTGAGGTATTCTCTGTCACTATTGTGGTATTCTCTGTCACCATTGTGGTATTCTCTGTCACCATTGTGGTATTCTCTGTCACCATTGTGGTATTCTCTGTCACTATTGTGGTATTCTCTGTCACAAGAAAATCTATGAAGTGACTGTGCCGTTTTTTTCAATAATAAATTAATACAAATTTTAAAATTATTATTTGATGGTCTGTTCAGAACAAAGCTGTACTGTAAGCAAATCTGTAGATAAAAAAAAAGTTAAAAAAAATCTGTGAACTATTTCATCATCATCAACAGTTCTTGTTATGCCTAGTGGCACATGAGGCTTCAGAGAGGACTTTCCATGCTTTCCTGTCCTGTGCAATCTTCAGTGCAGTTTTCCATGTCAAAGATGCTGCACTCAGGTCACTTTCCATTGTTCGTCTCCATGTTGTTTTTGGCGCCCCTGTTTTCTCTTTCCCTCTGGTGTCCATGTGAGAGCTGTCTTGGCATGTATACCAGAAGTCATTCTCATAACGTGGCCAAGCCATTTCCATCTTCTCTTGGTAATCATACTTTCTAAAGTTTCTTGGTTTATAGCTTGAAGCAGTTTAGTGTTTGAGATTGTATCTGGCCAGAAAATTTTGATAATTCTACGTAGACATGTGTGGTGGAAGGTGGACAGCTTGTGTGCATCCTTTTTGGTCATTCTCCAGCATTCTGCTCCATAAAGAAGAACTGGCAAAATGATGCTCTCGTAGAGTCGGAGTTTCGTTTCTCTGCAGTAATTGTTGGATTTCCAGATTTGCCTCATCCTTCCAAAAGCAGCTCAAGCTTTGTTCAGACCTGACTGAATGTCTTCCTCTGTCCCTCCCAGTAGGGACACCACACTGCCAAGATATGTGAAATCTTCTACATTTTCAAGTGATTGGTTATTTATGGTCACTGGTTGTTGGTTTGGACTGTTTGTCATGATCTTAGTTTTCTTTGTATTTATTCTCAGTCCCACCATTTCTGCTGTGCAGTTTAGTCTGTTACTTTTCTCTTGAATATGTTCATGTTTATGTGATAGGAGTGCTATATCATCTGCAAAATCAAGGTCCTCAAGCATGGTGAATGGAGTCCATCGTATGCCTCTAAATGTCCTGTCTACTGTGTTCTTTAGTATCCAATCAATCACAAGGTTGAAGAGGAGAGATGACATAACACATCCCTGTCTTACACCCGTCTTTACTGGGAAAGATGTATTGTGAACTATTTGATATAACGTATTTGCCCAAGTAAATGACACACTTTTCCCCTCAGAAATGTAGGGTCTAAAAAACTGTGCGTCTTTCTACAACAAGATTTTATGTAGTCATTACACCCCCCCCCCCCCATACACATATAGAATTTCAGGTGCGAAGTATTTGTGTGATCGTCTTGTACTGGAGAGTATAGGTACCTAGGGTTAGGAATTAGAATTATGGTACTGCATATGCCACACCATGCTGAGCCACAGAATTTGACAACAAAATGCTTTGGAATTTTCAATTTGTTTGCCATGGTAAATCGTGGGCGCTAATAATGAAGATGATACTGACAATGGATGAAGATGATGATGAGGATAATGATGATTATGATGACACTGATAATGTCCATGATAATAATGATTATGCTAACGATGACGATTATGATGGTGATGACGATGACAATGATGACAAATGGCACTCGCGCACTCACCAGCATTAAGGAGACCAGCATTGACAACGTATTGTGCTGCATGTCTTGACAGGGGGAGGAGCTGAACCTCTCTATCAAATACCTGAATGACCCTGCAGCTTTCTCAAAGTTCACAATACACTGAACAATACCCTCCTTTGTTGTTCGGTCCTGGAAGCAAGGAAGCAGCGGTTACAAAACTTACATGTGATCAATTCTAGCATTTTTATTACGTTACAGAGCAAATGTAATTGCTTTTATAATCTTTCTTTAACTCTTTCAGTTCCAGACTGTTAATGTAACTTGTTATTAAGGTTTTAATATAGTTTTGAGAAACTTTATTTAACTCTTTCAGTTCCAGACACATGTTAATTAACTTGTTATTAAGGTGTTACTAGAGTTTTGAGAAACTTTATTTAACTCTTTCAGTTCCAGACACATGTTAATGTAACTTGTTATTAAGCTATAGTTTTGAGAAAATTATACTGCTCTTATAATTTTTGTTTAAATTTGTCTGTCAGTTGGTCTCTGTATGTATATTTGTGTGGGACATTGCGCAGTCCCATATATATGTTGAGCTGGAACAAAAATCGTGACATCCAAACTACTCTAGTGTTGTTATTATGTTACCTGGATAGCTGAGGTTTACTGCTGCATGGACGAGAGCGGATAGATAGATAGATAGATAGATAGACAGATAAATGTGTGGATGCGCACATGCAGGCAAATACTCACATTAAAACATACATGCTCCCTGTGGATTCGGGGGCCCCAATTTTGGGAAACAAACAGAACAGACTTACTGCCCCTTAAAAAGCATGTCAACAGCGAGTGGTTAATTAAAAGGTTTGTTGAAATGGCTAGTTCTGAGTTGACAGATGAAAATATAACAACCTAGCTGTATAACATATAACATTGTGGAAAATCTTTTTTCCTTGGGGGGGGGGGGGGGGGTTAGGGCAAAGAAAAAAGAAAAAGAAGACGAGGAAGAAGAAGATGCGGAAAAAGAAAAAAAAGCAGAAAAAGAATAAGCAGAAGAAGAGGAAGATAAGGAGGTGAAGGAAGAAGAAAAAGAAAAAGAAGAAGAGGAAGAAGAAGAAGAAGAATTAGAAAAAGGAAAAGGACAAGGACGAGGAGGAGGAGAGGAGAAGGAGGAGCAGGAGAAGGAGAAGGAGGAGGAGAAGGAGGAGGAGGAGGAGCAGCAGCAGCAGCAGCAGCAGCAGCAGAAGAAGAAGAAGAAGAAGAAGAAGAAGAAGAAGAAGAAGAAGAAGAAGAAGAAGAAGAAGAAGAAGAAGAAGAAGAAATTCATAGAATTTTGTTTCTCACTCTCTCTCTATCTCTCTCTCTATGTATCTGTGTAAGAGCATGTCTACACATAAATATAATTGTATGCCCACCTGTCTGCCAATCAGTCCATCCTAGCAGTCAGTCAGCTAAAACCAGTTATCTGCCATCTTTTCATCTAACCTAATACCCACCAACCCATCTACACAATGTGACTCATAAATATATTTACCAAACCAGCCTATGCTCACCTACCCACCCACCCACTGTCTGTCTATCTGTTCATGCAGCCATCCATCCACCTGGCTTTTCAATATGACCCCACCTCCCCTCCCCCTAATCTCTCTGCCACCCATCATCTTAACTAATCCTACGGCAGGACAATTCTAAAATTCTAAACTTCACTGATCAGTACACTTCTCTACAATATTTCCTTATCAAGACAAATGCATGAGAAAAGTGCTTGAACCACCAACCTGTTTACAAGCAATCTGAGTATACAAAGCACCAATGTTGAAGATAATACTGCCTTTCTCAAAGCCCACAGATTTCTGGGTATCAGGAACTCCAGATAAACAGTCAAACCTGAAGAGGAATTGTAAATTTAAAATCAACTTTGCAAGTCAAAAGCAGGCTTGTGTCCACATTGTAACTCTTTCAGTCCCAGGGGAGTCTATCATGAGAGGACCAAGTGGTGGTAAACAGAGAGGTATAATTGGTGCATTTTGCTTTCACTGGACTTCAAGGTAGGAACCTATGAATGTATGCTGCGTTCCTAGGGACTCAAAGAGTTACAGTATACCAGGCATATATATGTGACAGTTACATTGGCTTACAGTGACATAGTTACATTGGCTCACAGTGACATTTATATATATATATATATATAAAATATCATCATCATCGATCAGCAGGTCCCTTACAGAATGCAGCTCTGATCACAGTATGACTGAAAGTTTCTCTTTCTTTAGCTAATTCTCAAGCCCTATGTGCTTTCATCGGTAAAAATATACGCTAGGCATGGCCACTGTTTTGAGCCAAGGCACATTTTTTGCTTCTGCCAGACGGTGGCCGTTGCATTTTTGCTCCATTTGTAAACTGAAAGGATATAGTTTTGTCGCCCAGCTTTTGAGTTATGTGCATGACGTGACACTGTGAGCTGTGGATTTCGTTTGGGATGTTTTTCGACTGTGACCAACGTGGTGGTGTGAAATGTAGATTTGTTGTCGCAATATTGGTGGTGCTATTATGTGTTTAAAATGGATCGCGTGTGCAACTGCTGATCTGTTGGTGACCTCTGCTACCATCCATGTGATGAACTGCATTTCTAATGTCTGACTGTTAGTGTTAGCACTTCGGATGGTTACCATATCTTTTTAATGCATGTGTATGCTAGTGCATATGCTGAGAATTTTTCCACAAGGGACTGTGATAAACATTCTGTGTGTTTTTCGTTCGCACAGGAGCGGAGCAACTATGGGGTGACCCGTTTGCTATGAAGCTGAAACTAAGATTACCAGATTACCAGAGAGGCTTTAATTTTTTTTTTTGTGCAATAGCCTCCACTAACAGTATCCACTTTCGTTGTGGTCTGCCTCTGCCTCTTTTTCCAGAAACTGCACCGTACATCTCAGTGCTTTCTCCAGGTCACCATAATATTTAACATGGCCAAACTGGTACATCAGCTTTCTGGACAAGATGCTGTTTGTGAGCCAATTCTCTATGCTCACACCATGCAGGAGGTTGGTGTTTTTCTTCTTCTTCTTCTTGGTCATTGGCATTCCAAGAATGGTTCTGTAGCATTTCAGTTTGAAAGCTCTGATTCATTAACTGGGTACCCTTTTACATTTTTACAGACTGATAAGTATTTCTATAAAGGATGGGGTGAACATCATACCTGCCACCTTTATCTGCCAGAACATTTTCTGATATTCATTACAAGCTGGGTCAACATGGCATCACAGGTAATTTTGTTTTAAATACATTTAAAAATTAGAAACAAATCTCTGCTCTGATATGGATTCAAACACAAGACAACTGGAATGCTGGATTTATGCTTGCTAATATGTCAGTCACTTCCCAGGTTGGTTTCTTGGGTTTCATTATGGGAAAAGGGGGGGGGGGGCGAGGGGGAGAGAAAAACCCACCGCCTCCTAACAAGCACATCATAAAAGGCAACTGAATAGAAGTGTTTTTCTTTCACAGTTGGAGTGTTTTTGCCTGAGAAATGAGCAACTAACAGTCTTTACATTCATAAGTCAGATCTGCGGGCCAAATGTAAATATGTATCCCTGTCGGCTAATGTGATTGTGTTCCTGTGAGCGAATATACATACTTGTCCCTGTGAGCGAATGTAAATATGTGTCCCAGTGGGCCAGTGATGTTACGTGTCCCTGTGGGCCAAATGTAAATATGTGTCAATGTGGGCCAATGTAAATGTGTCCCTGTGGGTGAATGTAAATACGTGTCCCTGTGGGCCAATGTAAATATGTGTCTATGTGGGCCAATGATGATACGTTTCCCTGTGGGCCAAATATAACTATGTGTCCCTGTGGGCCAATGTAAATGTGTCACTTTGGGCGAATGTAAATATGTGTCCCTGTGGGCTGATGTAAATACGTGTCCCTGAGGGCCAATGTAAATGTGTCACTTTAGGCGAATGTAAATATGTGTCTCTGTGGGCTGATGTAAATACGTGTCCCTGTGGGCTGATGTAAATACGTGTCCCTGTGGGCCAATATTAATATGTGTCAGTGTGGGGGAATATAAATATGTGTCAGTGTGGGGGAATATAAATTTGTCACTGTGAGCCAATGTAAGTATGTCACTGTGAGCTAATGTAAATAAGTCACTGTGGGCTAATGTAAATACGTATCACTGCAAGCCAGTGCCAATACATGTCACTGTGGACTAATGTGAATATGTCCCTGTAAGCCAATGTAAATATGTCACTGTAAGCCAATGTAAATATGTCACTGTAAGCCAATGTAACTATGTCACTGTAAGCCAATGTAAATATGTCACTGTAAGCCAATGTAACTATGTCACTGTAAGCCAATGTAACTATGTCACTGTAAGCCAATGTAAATATGTCACTGTAAACCAATGTAACTATGTCACTGTAAGCCAATGTAAATATGTCACTGTAAGCCAATGTAAATATGTCACTGTAAACCAATGTAAATATGTCACTGTAAGCCAATGTAAATATGTCACTGTAAGCCAATGTAAATATGTCACTGTAAGCCAATGTAAATATGTCACTGTAAGCCAATGTAAATATGTCACTGTAAGCCAATGTAAATATGTCACTGTAAGCCAATGTAAATATGTCACTGTAAGCCAATGTAACTATGTCACTGTAAGCCAATGTAACTATGTCACTGTAAGCCAATGTAAATATGTCACTGTAAGGCAATGTACCTATGTCACTGTAAGCCAATGTAAATATGTCACTGTGAGCCAATGTAAATATGTCACTGTAAGCCAATGTAAAATATGTAAGCCAATGTAAATATGTCACTGTAACAATGTAAATAGTCCAATGTAAATATGTCACTGTAAGCCAATGTAAAATATGTCAATGTAAATACTGTAAGCCAATGTAAATATATGTCACTGTAATATGCAATGTAAATATGTCCACTGTAAGCCAATGTAAATATGTCACTGTAAGTAAATATGTGTAAAATGTATGTCACTGTAAGCCAATGTAACAATATGTCACTGTAAGCCAATGTAAATATGTCACTGTAAGCCAATGTAAATATGTCACTGTAAGCCAATGTAAATATGTCACTGTAAATAGTCCAATGTAATGTATATGTCACTGTAAGCCAATGTAAATATGTCACTGTAAGCCAATGTAAATATGTCACTGTAAGCCAATGTAAATATGTCACTGTAAGCCAATGTAAATATGTCACTGTAAGCCAATGTAAATATGTCACTGTAAGCCAATGTAAATATGTCACTGTAAGCCAATGTAAATATGTCACTGTAAGCCAATGTAAATATGTCACTGTAAGCCAATGTAAATATGTCACTGTAAGCCAATGTAAATATGTCACTGTAAGCCAATGTAAATGTCATGTCAATGTAACTATGTCACTGTAAGCCAATGTAAATATGTCACTGTAAGCCAATGTAAATATGTCCCTGTAAGCCAATGTAACTATGTCACTGTAAGCCAATGTAAATATGTCTCTGTAAGCCAATGTAACTATGTCACTGTAAGCCAATGTAACTATGTCACTGTAAGCCAATGTAAATATGTCACTGTAAGCCAATGTAAATATGTCACTGTAAACCAATGTAACTATGTCACTGTAAGCCAATGTAAATATATCACTGTAAGCTAACGTAACTATGTCATTGTAAGCCAAAGTAAATATGTTTTACTGTAGGCTATTGTTAATTCATGCTACTGTGGGCCAATGTTAATATGTGTTACAATGGCCTAATATTCAGACTACAACTGACTAACTGACTTTTGTATGGTGTGTTTGACTGTCTGCTGTGCCTGTCTACGTGTACACAGTATATGTAGGTGTATGTGCACATGTGTCTGGGACCAACTAAGATAATGAAAACATATACACAACTTACCACTGAAAGTATATGGGCAAGGCCCGTTTGGCTGAGAAGAATCTCTTCTCTACATAACTGAGTTGATTAAAGTACTCCATTAGAAGCTCCACTCCTGCATGACTTCTCTCCGGGGTACGGACAGCCTGGAAACATGCCCCATTTCAAAATGTCACCCAACAGAAAACTCTCACTGATAAACTTAAAACACTTAAAACTCAGTATCATCTTACAAAGCTTGTCCATGCTTTTGCTGTGACTATACCACCTGTATCAACATATGAGTAGATGGTTAAACTGTTGTTGTTGTTGCAGCATTTAAGATTCAGAAGCAGCAGAACTAGTTAAAACGGCAACAGCTGATATGACTGCAGAAGTAGTAGTATTAGCTGTTGCAGCAATGGCATCAGCATCAGCCACTGCATTCTGTTGACTAACCATCATACAATCACAGCTCAACAAGAAGTGTTCAATAGTCAGCATTCCCCGTGTGGGTTCCGGGGCCCTGTTATAGGGAAAACAAGAATAGACCCACTGCCTACCCAAAAGCATGTTGTAAGAGTCGACTAATTGGAAGCTTCCTTCGAAGTCGGAGTGCATCTGCCTGAGAGGCAAGGAACCAACAGTCTGCACACAAATGTGTCAGATCTGTCAATGGATGCACAGGCAACACTCAAGTTCTGGAACAGGACTTCAGTCCAGAAGGGGATGAACAACCAGAACTTTCCACCAGAGTTTACAGCTGGTGAACGCAAAGAAGAAGAAGAAAAATAATCAGCATAAACATTCAATGACAAAGAATATAGCCTATTCTATTCTTAAATCTAAGTGAGTCATTCTTCTTCTTTTCTTCTTGATGTATGACAAGTTATATATTGTGAGGGCCCTTTTGGAGTGAGTGAATAGTGCAGAGGCGCAGAGAGATCATTACGGTCTAAGGAGAATGGTGCTGCGAGGAGTTACTAGGGGATCTGGCCGACGCTCAACACTCAGGGGAAGGATGAGATGGACCTACAAATAGACGGTTACTGGTACCATCGGAACTGGAACTCTTTGCTTGCTGCTGAAGATGGGGACTGAGCACTTATGGGAGTGTCCCAAGTGCTGTGATGTCGATTCTTAATTCAACATTCTTCTTTTCTTCTCTTCCTCCTTCTTTGTCTTCATCTCCTCCTCCTTCTATGTCTTCCAGTTACTATATCAAAGTGATGAGGAAAGATGTAAGCATGTTCTGTATGTCCTTTCTAATCCACTGTGTAAGATGATCTTCATTTATTTAAGGCTGTTTTTGATGCTTTATTCCATCCTTTGTGTGGTTTTCCTCTTTCTCTGTGTTCAGTACATTTCTTCAGCATGGCTCTCTATGGTAGCTGGATTCTGGTCAGGTGGCCAAACAATATCATCTGCTGCTCTGTAATGAAGTGTACAACTGGTTTCAGTTCTGGTCTTCTAACTTCTGTATGTTTTTTTTTTTCTCCTTCAGCATTCACAAGCTGTAAACTCCAGCAGAACATAAAGTTATACTTTTTCATCCACTCCTGGACTTTGGTCTTGATCCAGAACTTGCATTTTTCATGTTGGTTGTTTTCCTGTCAGGTTGATGCACTCCAGTTGTGAAGAAAACATCCCCTAATTAGTTACTTTCTACAACATAGTTGGGAGTGGGGGGGGGGGGGTCCACCCTTTGCTCCCCAAAATGGAGGAGGATAATTATATCTCTTGATGTGTTACTCCAACATATGTCTTCTAAGACATCTCAACTCTGTAGTTATTCATTCTATGCAGTAAGTGCTTACCTCTCTCAAGTCACAAAGCTCTTTGATTTCTGCAGTGTACTTCTCCCCATCCTCACTGTAGTGCTCCAATATTGCATCCTATAGCCAAAGATAGATAATACAGTCATGATGAAATACAGAAGGCATTTTATATGTGTCCAGCATTACAATTTGTGGCCCCAAAAATCTTTAAAATGACCATCATCAAAAATCAGGTTAAAAAAGAAATGCATTTTTATAATTCTCTGATAGATCACTAAGGTATCCACAAGATGGAGGTGACAGCCATTATATCTAGCCATTCCAGTGACAGTGTCCCCAAGTCTCTTTCTAACCGCTTTATTTTCCACCCTGGGAACCCTAACACCTAGGGGAATGAACTGTCAACACAGTTTCTTATAAAAATTCTCAAGTTAAGGCCCTTGGCATTCCGGGGCTATTTATTCTTGGGGCAACACATGTCTCTTTATACTCTACAAAATTCGTCCTTCTTAGGACGAAATTTTTTGTTATTTGAAGCCCCACTCTGGCTTTTGCCAGGGGCCGCAATATAGGCAGGCCATAAATATGGCCAATTGTCTGAACGCGGTTTCTGGGACCTCTCCACGGCGATCCTCATCCACATGGTGGCACTTTGTGTCATAGGGTGTTTATCGCTTGTGTGATGTCCTGGTGGGGTAGAAATTCATTCATTCATTCATGTCTCTTTATTCCTCTGGCAAGACATCAATGTGGCTGCTTCAGGATATGTCAGTTAAGTGATTTTGTGTATTTGTGTGGTTTTGTTTGATTTATGTAAGTGCTGATGAAGGCTCTGTAGTTGCAACATTCACTTTTCATTTATGTTTGTTATATTGTGAAGCTCGATGATCTACTTTTCCTGTGGTTTTATATCTTTCCATGATATAGTTCTCTGAAGACCTCATACAGGCATATAGCCTGCTGCCCAAAGACCTCATACAGGCGTACTGCCCACTGCCTGAAGATGTCATGTCTTCAAAAACCGGTAAAAGCCAGAAAACTGCTTTCTTTTCCCTCCCCTTTGCCTAACTAATTAAGAGAAGAGAAGCAATAGAACATTTTGGAACAGCTAGAAAATTAATTAAAAAAAACACATAGAGAGGAAGACATCAATGCCATTAGTAAATATACATGCATGGGCTGAAGCACTGAGACTGTAATATCCAGAAAACACAAGATTACCCACACCAGCTGACAAAACATGTGACGATGATGATAATGATGACGATGATGATGATGATGATGATGATGACGATGAGGATGATGATGATGACGATGATGATGATGATGATGTACTCATTGACCCTCCCTAAAATCAAAACACCAGGAAAACAGATGATCAGTATCTGAGCTAAAGCATGCTCGGTTTCCCAGTATGCTGCGATACTGATGAGTCTCAAGGCATCCAACTTCCTCTTTGTCATCCCTTACCTCTAGGTGTTACAACTTTTATGTTGTATGCTCTTGCTGCTGGCATCACTGGATTCATTCTCATTAAATTGACACACTATAGCGCAGTTGATAGGAGACTCACTTTCAAATCCAGCTGCAGCCCACGGCTGGTGTTCGAAACCGGGCAGTTCTCGGGGTTCACCCAGCCTCTAGGAAATTGGTACCAGAGTTAACACTCTGGGGTAAATGGAGGAACGTTAATGTAGCTACGCAGTTGCATGCGAACAGCGACCAGTTTCTTATCAGCTGTCCGTACTGGTGGCAGAGCACTTATGGTTAATAACCGTGTGCAATGACGCTGGTTCACATCTCCCGACTTTACCTTTACCATTTCAGTCTTTATTTTTTCAAGAATTTATTTATAGGTGTTGTTTCAATAGTTCTGGTATTTTCTTTATTTCTCAACCAATCTCTTCTAGTTTTTCTCTCTATAGTAATGCAACCCTTTTTATGACAGCAAAATACAAGTGTCTGACCATGTAACAATGAGCTAACCTTGAATGCCACAGACAGGTTCACTGGAATCGTCTCTTTTAGTCCCAGCGGCAACAATGGTGAAGTATTTTCAGAACTTGACACATGCAAAGAAGGCAGAAACAATGTTTATAAACAAATTTATATCATTTTTACATTGATAATATTAGAGGTACATAAGATAGCTGTTGGAATAATTTCTTCTTTTAAAAGAGAAAGCAGAACGCATTGATTTACACTTCTCTTCCTTCTAATTTTAATCTTCTTTAACTGTATAGAACTGTCTTATGTGTCATTTATTCAACTCGCATTAACTTCATTGTCCTTACAGACTTGTCTAATGTGTCCTAAATTCCTTAATCTTAAGCTTCACTGCAATTACAGACTTGTCTAATATGACATGTATTCCCTAATATTGACCTTCACTGTAATTACTGACTTATCTAATTTGCCACGTATTCCTAATCTTGACCTACATTGCAATTACTGACTTGTCTGATCTGTCACCTATTCTCTCATCCTGACTTCCACTGTAATTATTGACTTGCCTAATTTGTCACGTATTCCCTAATACTGACCTTCACCATAATTACTGACTTGTCTGATCTGTCACCTATTCTCTCATCCTGTAATTACTTGCCATTTGTCACGTATTCCCTATACTGACCTTCACCATAATTACTGATTTGTCTGATCAGTCACGTATTCCCTAATACTGACCTTCACCATAATTACTGACTTGCCCAATTTGTCACGTATTCCCTTATACTGATCTTTACCATAATTACTGACTTGCCTAATTTGTCACGTATTCCCAAATACTGACCTTCACTGTCTAATTTGTAAAGTACTTCCTGATCTCGACTATCACTGTGTCTAATGTGTCTTGTATTTCTGAACTAAACCTTAATTTTAATAACTGACTTGCTTAAAGTGTGTCATGTATAACATATGTGCATACCACACTCCTGACCTTCATTATCATATTTATTGACTTGCCTTATGCAGTTATCGAACAAAATGCCAACAGACAGTCTCTGTCAAAGTTAGAAACCAGGAAACAGAGATATCTGTAAGCTTTATAGGTACTGATGTAAGTGCTGGCTCAAAGTGAGTGAGTGAGTGAGTGAGTGAGTGAGTGAGTGAGAGAGAGAGAGAGAGAGAGAGAGAGAGAGAGAGAGTGTGTGTGTGTGTGAGAGAGTGAGAGAGAGAGAGCACGTATGTGTATGCGAGAATGCATGTGTGTGTCAAAAGTGCATAGGGATAGGAGTATGGGTGGGGTTAATTAGGTGAACATGATACAGTGGTAAGCAATAAATAAACTGGGAACTACTGTGGTGTAGCAGCTAGACGCTTGCCTGCAGATCTGAAGGTCATGGGTTCAAATCCATACAGAGCTGGACTTTTTTTTAAAAGATGAATTTGGCCCAGGTTGACTCAGCCTTAAATGGGTACCAGTCTTGTGAAGTAAAGGCGGTCGGTGTGATGCTGTCTATATCATCCACCATAGCACAGATTGGTCTTTAAAAATATAGGTCTAGCCCTGTATGCCCAATACGCTTAAAGGCGTGGAAAAGGGACCTTTCCTTTCCTTTACACACAAATTAGACATCTGTCTTAATATATTGATATTCAGTTTGTTCTCCTCTCCCCTTCTCCCCTCTCCCCCAGTATGCATCTCTTTCCACCAGTCGTCTACTATTCATCCATTTAACAGTGTCAAATTTCTAGTGTCAGGACCCATGCTAAGTATATGGCTTCTTACGGTTGCCAAGTTGCACGTATTCATGACAGGTTGTAAAATACCACGGGGTGTGAACGGTGTGTCATTCACTCAGTGCACCAAGTTAACTATTACATGAACATGGACTGGCCACGCCCATTGCTGTTGTCTGGTATCCATCTACTCTATGTCCTCTGTTGTTGAATGGCCATTTTGTTTTGAACGAACAACATAAACTGTCTTGTGGGCTGTGGGATAAAAAAAAGGGGGTGGGTGGAAACACGGAAGAAAAAAGTTTTTTTTGGCGGGTGGGGGTGGGGGCAACGATCAACAACGAGGGTCGTCACCAATGGATATTCTCAACAAGTACACGTAACAGAAACCAGCAATGCTGTCATTGCAACAAGTTGCGTTATCACAAACGACGACTCTCAACACTGGGCATTTCCGTACGTGCTCAGTCCTCCAATGCAGCAGCCACTCCAAGGTACCTCTGTTAACCAGCTGTTCCTATGAGAAGTCGGTTGTGGTGTCTCCTGTCTTGACCTCGAAGACAGAATAGACATGCTTAACCAAGCTTTGCTCCCAGATCACGCAATTGTGTTAGCGCCATCGATTCATCATAATTCCCCAATCTAGCCCATACAGCGTTGATTATATCAGCTCTGTCCTTGCTTCTTTCCGTTTGCACTGGTGCATCACTTTCCAGCTAGTCAACAAGTAATATGATCATAGAAGTGTTGGCAATAGCCATCTTGGGTGTGAATCCATATCGATGCGGATGTTCATAATTGCCACTTGCTGATAGGTCGACCCAAACCTAATGGGTACTAGGAAATTTCTAGAGAAGTAAAGACTGCCAGCGTGAATCTGACTACATTACACTCCGAACGCCGATTGGTCTATACAAAAACAGGTCTATCACTAAATGTCCGATGCATTACTTACTTAGTCGCTCCTCTTCTACCTTGGGGTGTAGAGGTTTGCCAGAGAGATCGCCAGACGTCTCTATCAGCAGTTTTCTTGTCTGGCTTTGTTCCATTCCAGTCCTCTGTTCAGTCAGGGGACTGTCGGATGTTGTTCTTCCCAGCGCACCCTGGGTCGTCCTGAGGGTCTGTGTCCGTTGGTTCTTAGCCTCCATGCCTGCCATGGGGCCGATTTCTCCCATTCTGCATACATGTCCCAAACCATCGTAACTGTGACTGGATCCACTCGGGTTTGTAATGACGGGTATCAAGATCTTGACGTATTGTCTGATTGCGGACTTTGTCCCTTCTTGTCACTTGGACCACCTTTCTTCAGATATCTCAATTTCCGAGGCCTGCAGCTGGCTTCTGTGAGCTGTCATTGCCCATGACTCACACCCATAGGCCAGGACTACTGGTACTAGGTAGAGCGGTAAACAGCCATTTTCGTCCTCTTGCCAATTTATCTTTTGCTAAGAAACCCTCGGGGTTATGGCCGGAAGAGTCTCCCAGCAGCTGCTTTAAATCGTGTAGCCAGCTCAGTTTTAATGCCTCCATTTCGGTCTAATACAACCCAAGGTATTTGAACTGGTTTAACCTGCTCAATGCATACTGTCCCATCATGACTGGTGTTTCTTCTCCTCTCTTGAGATCACCAATGTTTTTAGTTTGGAGATTACTGATGGTACAGCCCTCTCTTTTCAACGCTCTTCCTTCCCAGACAAGTAAGTTGACTGAAGGTGGTGCTCTGATTTAAAATATCAGGGCAACATCATCTGATGTGAAATGCCAGCACTGATATACAGATTGGTCTCATCTTCAGTACCCTACAGAGTACCTTGTGTACTTTCTCCTTACAGGTCTTGATGACATCATCCATCATAAGAAATGAAGAGGTAAGGTGAGAGAATATCACCTTGTCAGGAACACTCTGGTGGTCTTAAATTCTTCTGACTTTTGGTCTGCTGTTCTTACATAATTTCTGCAGCTTTTGTAGAAACTCTGTATTGCACTGATCAGGGTTGCTGGAATGTTTTTCCCCGCCAAGCAGTCCGATGCAAAACTGATGTGAAATCATCATCATATAGCAGGTCAATACTGATGTGAAATCATCATCATGTAGCAAGTCAATACTGATGTGAAATCATCATCATGTAGCAAGTCAATACTGATGTGAAATCATCATCATGTAGCAAGTCAATACTGATGTGAAATCATCATCATGTAGCAGGTCAATACTGATGTGAAATCATCATCATATAGCAGGTCAATACTGATGTGAAATCATCATCATGTAGCAAGTCAATGCTGATGTGAAATCATCATCATGTAGCAGGTCAATACTGATGTGAAATCATCATCATGTAGCAAGTCAATACTGATGTGAAATCATCATCATGTGTGGCGCGGTGATTTATGTCACAGGCGTGAGGGGAAGTTAAGTCCAACATGATGTGTATAAGGAGATACTCCGTACGTCACTCGGGCGCCAGTCCTTTAATATCCTGGTTGTACGGAAACCTCACGCAAGACCCCGGCAGCACGTCCTCGTCGTGCCCACGGATAATGTCTCAAATGAGCATTAACAGAGCTGTCAGGGGATCTCGGAGTTTGGCGGCCCCAGAGGTGATGTGTCCTTGTGGCTAATCATCAGCCCGCCCCCAAACGCTTGGGTGAAAAATGTTATCAAAAACTCATTAGGAACATGAGTAGGTTTGCCAACGTACAGCCAAAATTAACAACCCTTGGTTAAAAGACTGCGGAGTAAAGAGAACATTGTTCACTGCACATCCTCTGTTAACCCTCAGTGTCGTCGTCACCGCGCTGAGGTACACCACAACAGCAAACATCCATAGGCTGGCCATCCTTGTACATCCTCGGTTAACCCTCAGTGTCGTCGTCAACCGCGCTGAGGTACACCACAACAGCAAAAACCATCCATAGAGCTGGCCATTCATGTACATCCTCGGTTAGCCCTCAGTGTCGTCGTCACCGCGCTGTGGTACACCACAAACAGCAACCATCCATCGGATGGCTAACCTAAATGTCCGACAAAACTAGATCATACGGATCAAAATCTGACCATCAAAATTTGTATTGAACTGAAAAAAGACGAATGTCCACACCCAAAGACCGACTCGCCCGAGTGTTGGGACAAAAACTGATAACGATATGCCTGATTCAGAATGTAAAATTCTGTCGGGCTAACGGCTCGTCAAAGAAATCCAACGTGCGAAGAGAAAAAAAAAAAAAGAATGTACCTATCTGTGTGGTCACAAAAGTCCAAAACCCACGGGCTGCTCCCCGCAGACTTCCAGAGGGCGCAGCCCCTGTCGAGCGGGAGGCCTGATACGGTTGTGAGGTTAAGCAGGCATGTGCAGGACGTGACGATTCCTTGGGTGAGCCCAG